AGAAGCAAGGACGCCACATTCTCACAGCGCTCTTAAAGTCAGCGCACACAATCGATGGAAAGAAGGAACCGAATACCAATCGGTAGAATAGAATATATAAAATAAAACATTGCAGCTGTCCGTTTCATCAAATGAGCGGCTGTTGAAAACCAGACACAGAAATATGTTTATTCCTATCCAAGAATGCGAAGGCGCATGCAAGTATTATCCAGATGAAACTGCTGCGTGCCATAAAACTGTATTGCCATAATAAAACTACTATAGCACTAGCGTAGCAAGAGGGAACTGGGAGTTCCCCCCCTCTAAAGTTTTTCTATCTGGTGTGCATGTATACGCAGGCATATATACGAACGCACGAACGTACCTATAAAGTATGCTCTAACCACTGTCCCCCACTGCCCATAAAAATTTGTCTGCGCTACTCATCATAATTCAACCATGACCCTGAATAGGCATGTTCAAGCCAAATTTTCAGAAAACGAACAGAGGTCTATAGTAAATACTAGACGTAATTCGGAAAAAGAACAATTGAAAGAATCGTATGCTTCGGGTCAAGCAGCAGTTTTTTTTTCATCAGATGCAGTGGAGCGCCAAAAAGACTTACGTCAAGAAATCGAAGCTTAGGAATGGTTCACACATAAGTACTATGAGAGCTAAGCGTGCACAAATGGTTTGGATATGCGACGTATGAGTGCACTGGTGTAGTTGAAGGCCGTCTTAGCAGCACTTGAAACCGTATGAATCTGAGAACGAATGAATTATCATCCGGCCCAACATGGCCTTCTTACCATTTAATTATTCTCAAACACTTCACCATACTCTTTTTTCCTGTGTCATTATAACGAAAATGCCACCACACAAAGTGCAATGTGAAACCTGTGTTTAAATCTTTGCTGAAACAGCATTCGCTAAAGCGATACTACTCAATTAAAATATGTATTGATGCTTGCTGTGTGGAGTAGTAAATCTGAAGAACTAAAATCAGGTTTCGGTGACCTGTGCTCTTCAGAAAATATTTTTTTCCTAAATGTCATCGCCTTAAGTGCTGCCTATTTTCAATCAGTACGCTAATATGAAAATGCGCAGCATTTCACTACATTTGAAACAGCCGCTTGTTGTAACTGCACAAGTAAGGTGCGTTACGGCTAGAATGCGTTCCAAGGTATGGTGAAACAGTTTTATTCATGAATGAATGCTTGCCCAGTCTTTCTATTTTCTGAAGTTAGTGGTTAAACCACGCCAGGCAAGCCCATATTCTGGTCCTATGATGTGAATGGCAAACATAGTCGTTCGCGGCCTTCTAAGTGTACGAGTACACCATGACACATGTCTAGCGAGAGAACAAAGAATTATGTGCTTGACGATGGATGGAGTGATCACGTATTTTTGCGCGATATCGCAGGTGCTCCGACGACTACAACGACCGCGAAAAGGACGACAACTAAAAGGACTACGACCCCCACAACCACCACTACGACCACAATGGCTACCACCACTAGTCCGACAACTACTACGACAAGCACTATTACGACGACAAGCACGACGATGACGACTACTACTACGACAACCACATCGACAACTACGACTACCACGACGACAACAACTACGTCAACGACTTCAACTACTACGACAAGTACGACGACTACGACTACCACGACAACTACAACTACGACATCCACAACTACGTCGACGACGACTTCAACTACGACGACAAGTATGACTACCACGACGACTACAACTACTTTTACTACTACAACTCATCTTTTTTCGTCATCCTACTGCAGCTGCTTGTTCCAAAAAAAAAAAGAAAATTATGGGGTTGGGGGCCTCAGTCCGGTCAGTTGGTTCGTCGATCGGTCAAGTCAAGCCAGTCAGTTTTATTTTCGTTGCAAACAATACAATGCATTTTCACTGCGAATATAGGCAACCGAAGAAAAAAAAAAGCCGCGTTTTCGCAGCTTGACTAAGCTCTGGTTCAAAGGATCAGACGTTCGTCGGACCCACCGCCCCTTTGGCTACGCTAGTCATTACTACTGCTGTCTTTTCTAAACGTCTAAATACTTCAGAAGATGAATGAAATGGTTTCACTTATATTTGATAACGCCTGCCTCGTGTATTTCAATGCCAATGCAAGCAAGCGCTCCTTAACGGGAGCCGTTGGTCCACCTATTATAAGTTCACAGAATGGTCGTGATGCGACGCCACATGTACGGTGGGGCTGCCTGCGTCACACGTGCGTCCTAGCGCTTTCCCACGTCCGGAGATGCGATATACGTGTTTTCCTCTCCAATATCATATGTCAGTCAGATTTGTTTCTTCATGATCAGTATTTGTCTCTAGAAGCAAGGCCGCCACCTTCTCACAGCGCTCTTAAAGTCAGCGCACACAATAGATGGAAAGATGGAATCGAATACCAATAGATGGAATAGATTATATACTTAAAAACATTGAATATGTCCGTTTCATCAAATGAGGGGCTGTTGAAAATCAGACATAGAAATATGTTTATTGCTATCTAAGAATACGAAGGCGCATGCAAGCATTTTCCCGATGAGATAGCTGCGTGCAATGAAACTGTATTTTTATAATGAAACTACTATAGTACTAGCGTAGCCAGAGAGAACTGGGAGCATCCCCCCCCCCCCCCCATGAGGTTTTTCTATCGGGTGTGAATGTATACGCAGGCATACATACGAACGCACGAACGTACGTATAAAGTATGCTCTAACCACTGTCCCCCACTGCCCATAAAAATTTGTCTGCGCTACTGATCATAATTCAACCATGACACTGAATAGGCATGTTCAAGCCGAATTTTCAGAAAATGAACAGAGGTCTATAGTAAATACCAGACGTAATTCGGTAAAAAGAAGAACAATCAAAAGAATCGTATACTTCGGGCAAGCAGCAGTTTTTTTCATCAGATGCGGTGGAGCTCTAAAAAAACCTACTTCAAGAAATCGAAGCTTAGGAATGGTTCACGCATAAGTATCACGAGAGTTAAGCGTGCACAAATAATTTGGATATGCGACGTATGAGTGCAGTGGTGTAGTTGAAGGCCGTCTTAGCAGCACTTGAAACCGTATGAATCTGAGAACGAGTGATTGATCATTCAGACCAACATGGCCTCCTTACGATGTAATTCTTCGCAAACACTTTACCATACTCTTTGTTTCTTGTGTCATCGTACCAACAACGCCGCCACACAAAGTGCAATGTGAAACCAGTGTTAAAAGCTTTGCTGAAACAGCATTCGCTAAAGCGATACTACTCAATTAAAATATGTATTGATGCCCCCTGTTCGGAGTAGTGAAGCTGAAGAACTAAAATGAGGTTTCGGTGATTGGTGATATTTAGAATTTTTTTTTACTAAAAGTCGTCGCCCTAAGTCCTGCATAATTTCGAATGTAGTGAAATGCGCAGCATTTCACTACATTCCAGGCAGCCGCTTGTTATAATTGCACGTGTACGTAAGGTGCGTTACGGCTGGAATGCGTTCCAAGGTATGATGAAACAGTTTTATTCATGAATGAACGCTTGCCTAGTGTTTAAGTTTTAAAAGTTACTGGTTAAACCACGCCAGGCTATCCCATACTCTGGTCCCATGATGTGAATGGCAAACATAGTCGTTCGCGGCCTTCTAAGTGTACGAGTACACCATGACACATGTCCAGCGAGATAACAAAGAAATAATGTGCTTGACGAAGGATGGAGTGATCACGTTTTTTTTGCGTGATGTCGCAGGTGCTCCGACGACTACAACGACCGTGAAAAGGACGAGTACTAGAAGGACTACGACCCCCACAACCACCTCTACGACCACAATGGCTACCACGACGACTAGTCCAACAACTACTACGACAAGCACTATTACGACGACAAGCACGACGATGACGACTACTACTACGACAACCACATCTACAACTACGACTACGACGACGACAACAACTACGTCAACGACTTCAACTACTACGACAAGTACGACGACTACGACTACCACGACAACTACAACTACGACATCCACAACTACGTCGACGACGACTTCAACTACGACTACAAGTACGACTACCACGACGACTACTACTACGACAACCACGACGACTACGACTACAACCACAACTACATCAACTACGACTACAACTACGTCGACGACGACTACAACCACAACTACGACTACCACGACTACTACAACTACTTCGACTACCACGACCACTACCACTTCAACCACCACGACTACGACTACCACAACGACTACGACTACTTCGACTACCACGACCACTACCACTTCAACTACCACGACTACGACTACCACAACGACTACGACGACTACTACTTCAACAACCACGACTACGACTACCACGACGACTACGACCACTACTACTTCAACTACCACAACCACGACTTCCACAACGACTACAACCACTACTACTTCAACTACCACGACTTCAACTACCACGACGACGACGACCACCACGACAACTACGTCTACCACGACTACTACCACAACAACTACGACTACCACGACCACCACGACAACTACGTCTACCACGACTACTACCACAACGACAACTACGACAACTACAACGACAACTACAACGACAACTACGACTACCACAACGACTACCACGACGACTACCACGACGACTAGTACAACTACAACTACGACTACTACGACAAGCACGACATCTCGCTTCCCGGCAGGTAAGCCACGCATCATTTACATCGCGCTAGAAACGTGCGTAAGGTCGTTTGCTAATAACTGTGCTGATAGACGGTAAAGACCAACATTTTCTGAGATCAATGGGAAAAGTGGCACAAAAGCTATGGAGCTAGGAACAGTCGATGTGCTTCGAATCTTAACTGCTATGCCCTCTGCCACCGCATTGGCGTCGCTACCGTTGCCTTTACATCGGTGCCTTCGCATTCGATTTCGGCTACCCGTGCGCACGAGAGTAATGGTTTACATGCCGCCAGTCGTTTCGATAATTATTATTACATGCTATAGCGTCAGCATTAGGGTTGGGTACATCACGTACACAATCATAAACACGTTCACACGTGCATAGAGAAAGCGAGTAGCCGCTGCGGTGGTCTTGCAAATATGGCGCTCGACTATCGAAAGGTCGCGAGATTGAATCGCGGCCGCATTTCAGATGAAGGTGAACATGCACGCGGCCCGTATGCTTACATTTATGTGTACGCTGAAGATCACCAGGTGGTCTAAATTTTCGGAGCCCTCCCCTTCGACTTCTCTCGTGAACATATCGTGGTTTTTGGATGTTAAACTCCATAAATTAATAATATAGGAAAGAGAGAATGATAGTTAAATGGCTTTGACGTCCTAAAACCATGCTATGGTTATGAAAGACGCCGCAGTGGAGGGCTACAAAAATTTAGGCCTTGTGACGTTAAATAGCGTGCACGGATATCGCCCAGCACACAGGCGTCTTTTTTGTGTGCTACTTTATTGTTTAGGATATTTCGCGGTGCGTTCTGTCGGTGACCATCCCGAAATAATGTGCCACTCTTTAAATCATCTTTATCCTGGCCAACTTCTTTACCTACATTTATCAAAAAATGAATGCTTCATAAGTGACGGTTGCAAGCGGCCAATAAACATTTATACTTATTTGCAGTCAAGGAGCTGTTATGCACCGTGGGTCATACCGCAGTCACTGACAACATGTACCCGAATGATCACATTTGCCAATATCTGTACTACAGCGATGTTATCATCGTGGACGGCAAGATTCGACCCTCTTTTGAGCGGAACAGCTGGATTCAGTTCCAAAGAAAGGCAAAAGCGTATGTCAAGGTCAAATCTGGGATTGCCTTCGACCACTGGTGAGAGAACAAAGACCTCAGTGCATGCGTTTTTTTTTTGTCAAGTTAGATGTCACCGTCTTAGATGCGTGCTTCGCCCAGCCAACTGATGATACCGCGATCCCAAGAAAGATGTTTCTTTGTATATGCTATTGTTTCAATTTGTAGATTGGCCGGAATAGTAGTCGTAAAAAAATGTGTTGGCATTACAGGGTGGCACAAGATCTTCTCGTGCCATTAGCAAGAAAAACCTTGAATAGCAATCACGACTGCATCCCGCCTCCTGTATAGCTGCATTTGTACTTTCAAAGGCACTTCTACATTCAACGCTTTATTATTGCGATAGCAATTATATCGACATGCTAGGCTGGATTTCGCCGCCAGCGTCGACGTGGGCGTCAGCGTCGAGGCCATGCACCATATATGTACACGTATCTATATATATGAAAGCACAAGAAATATAATCCTGAAAGAGGACTCCGGCGCGCGGAATCGAACGTGGGACCTCCGCGCGTCGTGAATGCGAGGCATTAACCACTGAGCCACTGAGGGGTACCTCCTTAAACGTTCAAACGAACCTACTTATACCTACCACTTACCACTGTTGGCGGGCATCTCGGGGGGGAGGGGGCTATCGTGTTTTCAGTAATATCAGCAAGATGACGCAATGAGGGCGCGGCAGCTCATCTCTCACGCGTACTTTGGCCCACGGACAGGAGGGGAGTGGACGATCTCTCACGCACTCTTAGCTTTTGGTGGGGAGAATCATGCGTCTTGGCTGGCGTTGGGCATGCACTCGAACAATTCTATTGTAATTAAAGGACGCAAAATGGTCACTGAAATCGTTCCACAGCCTCCGTTTGCGAAAAGGGTGCGCCTCTCAGACACAGCGAAGTAACAACTCAGATGCTTATTGGCGTTTATCTGCACCTGTAAGTATGTTTCATGCGTCATTTGTGCGTGAGAAACGCGGGGCTGGTTTCGATCTGCTCGCCATTCTGTACGTAAAATTTGCAATTTGTTGCTATTGCGTTCATTGCTTTGTCTTTGGGCAAAGATGTGACTTTTTTTTTCAACCTTTATGACATGCTCTTCATTTAGGTTTCCATTCACTGCAGTATTTTATACTTACTATTTGCACTATGAGGTGCTATCACCACTACAGTTTTCTGATGAAAACAACGAGTCAGTAGTTCAAAAGTTCACTTGCCACCTGGCGGTACCTTGCAAGGAAAAACGGTGCGACCATTTTCTGCATTCTCACGACCTTTGCTCGCCTAGCCGGAAGGTGTAAATTATTTGTCTTGTAGATCATTTAAAGAAAATTCGCGCTAGTATGCTCGACAGCCAGTTGGGTGCATTTTGGTCTCCTAAGCCTGCTGATCAGTAACTGTTGCGAAAGCAGGGTTACTTAAGTAACTTAGGGTAAAAGAAGAAAAAAATAAGTGTGAGGAGGTTTATTAGCCGTTAAAGACAGCGACGAGACAGCGTCAAGAACCGTCCAGCGATCGGCACAGCAACGAACCGAAGCACGAGCCGAGAGAGCCAGGCGTTGGCGATGCTGCTCGCTGCAGGCACATCTTCTTCTTCACAATCGCCCCCGCTGAAAAAGGAGCCATCCTGGCGACTTAAGAAGTTTCAGGCAAAGGCTCATGGTACGGTTTCAGTCGGGAAGCATGGACGATGTCACGTGCACGCTGGCGCATGTCGTCCGATCGGGAAACTGGTTCAATTAGGAAATTAACCGGAGAGGTTTTCTCCAAAACGGTGTAAGGCCCCTCGTACCACGGGACAAGTTTCGAGGAGAGTCCCGGTGTTTGGTATGGGATGGCAAGCCACACAAGAGACCCTGGGGCATAGTTGGGATCCGGGAGAGAGGTGCTACAAGTTTCTTTCTGGCGTTGTTGTTCTTTCGAGGTGAACGCACGGGCGAGCTGGCGGCACTCTTCGGCTTGTCTAGCAGCATCGGAGATAGGTGGACACTCGGAAGCATCAGGACGGTAAGGAAGTAGGGTATCAATTGTATGGGAAGGCTCACGTCCGTAAAGAAGAAAGAAAGGTGAGAATCCCGTGGTGGATTGTATTGCGGTGTTATATGCGAACGTGACGTATGGGAGAACACGGTCCCAGTTGCTGTGATCAGATGCCACGTACATTGAGAGCATATCACCTAGCGTGCGGTTGAACCGTTCCGTTAGTCCGTTAGTCTGCGGGTGGTATGCTGTCGTTTTCCGATGAATGACGTGGCATTCCGAAAGCAGAGTTTTGACGACCTCGGAAAGAAAAGCGCGGCCTCTGTCACTAAGGAGCTCTCGAGGTGCACCATGTCGAAGGATAAAGCGTTGCAAAATGAAAGAGGCGACATCCTGAGCTGTAGCGCTCGGCAAAGCGGCTGTTTCGGCGTAGCGTGTCAGGTGGTCGACCGCCACTATAATCCACCGATTACCATCTGGTGTCAATGGAAGGGGACCGTAGAGGTCAACGCCGACGCGATCAAATGGCTTGGCAGGGCATGGAAGTGGCTGCAATGCGCCAGTCGCACGTGGCAGTGTTGATTTACGTCGCTGGCAGTCAGGACAGCACTGCACGAATTTACGTACAAAATTGTACATGCCGCGCCAGTAATAGCGATGGCGAAGGCGTTCATATGTTTTGAACACTCCGGCGTGGCCACATTGCGGATCGTCGTGAAGGGAGGCGCATACTTGCGATCGTAAAGTGCGTGGAATGACCAGTAACCACCGGCGGCCATCGGGAGCGTAGTTGCGTCGATGAAGAAGTTGATCGCGGATGGCGAAATGGAGAGCTTGACGTCGGAGAGATCGAGATACTGGAAGGTTGGGCGTGCCAGATAAATATTCGATAAGAGAGGCGATCCACGGGTCACGACGTTGTTCGGTGGCAATTGATTCAAAATTTAACGATGACAAGTACTGGAGGCACGTGTTTCCGCACGTCGGATCTGGTGGCAAAGGTGAGCGGGACAGGGCATCAGCGTCAGAGTGTTTGCGTCCGCAGCGGTATACGACGCGAATGTCGTACTCCTGGATGCGGAGTGCCCATCGCGCAAGGCGGCCAGAAGGGTCTTTCAATGTGGAAAGCCAGCAAAGCGCGTGGTGATCAGTTCTAGATCGAACGGGCGGCCGTATAAGTACGGCCGAAACTTTCCAAGCGCCCACACCAGAGCCAAACACTCTTTTTCTGTCACGCTGTAATTAGTTTCGGCTTTCGTCAGAGTGCGGCTAGCGTAGGCTACAACGTATTCTGAATAGCCGGGCTTTCGTTGAGCGAGGACCGCGCCTAGCCCGACGCCGCTGGCGTCGGTGTGCACTTCGGTAGGAGCCGTCGGGTCGAAGTGGCGAAGAATAGGTGGGGAAGTAAGCAGACGGCGCAGAGTAGCGAAGGCAACGTCACATGCAGGGGACCAGGAGGTGAGGTTCACGTCACCGCGAAGAAGCTGCGTTAACGGTGACATGATAGATGCAAAATTGCGAACAAAGCGCCGGAAATAGGAGCATAGGCCTACAAAACTGCGAAGTTCTTTCATGGTCGTCGGCTTGGAAAATTCTGCGACTGCTCGAAGTTTTGCTGGGTCTGGTAATACGCCGTGCTTGGACACGACGTGGCCTAGGATGACGAGCTCGCGTGCAGCGAAGCGGCATTTTTTTAGGTTAAGCTGCAGACCAGCGTTGGTCAGACAACTCTAAACGTGCCTGAGGCGAAGGAGGTGCGTAGGAAAGTCATGGGAGAAAACCACGACATCGTCGAGGTAACACAGGCACATATTCCATTTGAGGCCACGTAGCGTGTTATCCATAAGACGTT